TGCACGTTTTTGATGCGTCAAAACTTGCATCATTTGATGCTGCAACATGGCAAATTGTTGTTGTTGTTGGCTGTGCTGTGGTTGCTGTTGCTGCATTTGTTGCAGCAGTTGTTATTGAAATAATTTCATTTGCTCATTTTGAGCTTGCATTTGAGACATAAACTGTTCAGTTTGAGCTTTTTGGGCTTCTCGTTCTTCCCTTCTTTCTTGAAGTTCTTGCTCCTTCATCTCTCGCATATTCTCTCCCTTTTCTCTCAACCAGTCTATTGCCTCTCCTGATCTTCTTCTTTTTTTCTCCTTTTTCCCTTCATCCTTTTCTGTTTCTTCTTCTCTCTTTTTGGTTTGTCTGAACCTCTCCATTGCTCTCTCCCTCATCTCTATTGCCTTCTTTTTCTCCCCCTCTACCAGTTTCTTGGCCTCGTCATTCTGCTCTTTTGTCTTCTTAGATTCCATCTCTAATTCCACTAGCTTTTCAGCTTCACTCATTTCTTTATCTCCACCACCACTCTCTCTCTCCTCTTGTCTAACTTTTATTCGCCATTTCTTTGCCAGAATATTGAAGCGGTCTCTCACCGACCGTGAAATGACAGGCATACGTTCTGCCACAAGGGAAGAGGCAGCAACCTGCCATAATTCTCCTTTCTCCCTGGATCCTGCCCTGCTATTGATAAAAACACCCTCGGCTGCCACAGCTCTCAAGAGTTTGACATCTTTCTCTTCAGTCCACACCATTATAGATCTAATAACAATCATAAACAAAACTTCTGAGAAAAGTGGCTATATTAACAAATATTGTCTTAACCTAACATATAGTCACTTGAAAATAGGAGGTACGATCATTCACTTAACCTATTTTTTAAACAAGAATAACAGCTTATTTTTGTCTTTAGAACTACAACCGCACAGCCAGTGTAACAGATATGATTAGAGAACTAGGATGGGTCACATAAGAAAAAAGACTGATGAAGAACAGACTAACACAAATATGTAAAATCAGGTATAATCTTCCTGACATTAAATCAGAAAAATATTTAAGATTTTGTGATGAGACCTGTACATGTGTTAGCTGTATAACAAAATATAACATTCCAACAAAGCTAAAACAACAAAATATTCTGCCAAAGTACTCCTATTATCAAATACTGTATC